CAGAGTACAATTCTCCAGTATGTACAAAAACGAAACCCAATCAGCCAGCACGCTCAAACACTGATAGCAATGTCCCTGTGAACTGCTTTTCTAGAAATACCACAGCACGTTAAATCCCTTTTTAAACCCTTTGTTGAAGGAAAAGCAACAGCTCTAGTAACAGATCCAAGGCTACAACCTTGAAATTACTAGTTTTCACACTGGAATAATTTGAGTTTGGATGATTTACACTTCAAAATGTGCTTGCACACCCTAAACCCTTCATTTCCAAAGATACCAAGTTTTAAATACTGTCAGCCCTTAGTGCCAGATTCCAACTGTATTCCTGTAAGCAACCTACCCCCCAGCAGATATTGCTGTGATTGATCTGCTACAGCCTTATCATCCAGACGAAAGATGAAGAGAAGCAAAAGTCTCCATTTGGAACCACCTCTGCTATCAGCATTTTAATTACTTTTTCTGAAAGGAAACAAACAACCCCAACCATTACTGTTTCACAGTAAATCAATTTATGTATGCGCACAAAATTTTGTCATCTTTTCCAGGACTGCACTAAAATGAGAGGAATATTCCTGGAGTGTATGGAAGAATGGGTCTGAATGGGTCTGAACCTGACTTATGTTTCACTACAAGTGAAGACTTGCCTGGCTATTTAATATTTGAGTATTATGATGCCATATGTTATCGAAAAAAAGTTCAAATTTGGTTCTTTAATCAAAGAAAATTCTGAATAGGTGAAAACTCTACATTCTAAAACTTACCCCAGTTGTTCATGGGAGCCTTAAAAATCAGGATTTAGCCCTATGTCATTTTCACTGAGTGGAAGGTTTTTAAAGACCTCAGAGTTCTACAAACTGCCTGAGATTTTAGGTGTGGTTTTGGGGTTTTTTTGTTTTGTTTTGGTTTTGTTTTGGTTTGTTGTTTTTTTTTTTTTTCTTACTAAATTAGCACTATAGTTTAGACATACTTGATTTTCTTAAAACTGAAAATTAGAACTTTTGCGAATATAACACAAGACATATTTTTAAGCTAAATCCATTTCCAAATTCTTCTCTGAAAGACATTCAAATGAATGAATTTTTATCATTCCAATGACAAATACAAAAACCTGCTTTTCTCTTATGGGCATAATATAGGTATGATAACTATTTCTCTTTCTGAGGATCCAAAATATTATATTGTATATATATTATTGTATATATATTATATCCATTCCTCTAGCTGTGATTCAAAGGATGGGAATGTTTACTACACAGTGTCTGTAACAAGGTGATCACAGGAAATTTTAGCCTCATGAATGCCAACAAACTTAAGGCAGACACAGAAGTCACATAAATCTGATGGAAAACTGCAGAAAAACTCTATAAAAATTACATCCCTGAAAACCACTTGAGGAACATCCATTGCTACTTGTATGTGTAAGTAAAAAAACTTAATTCACTTTTTTCTTAATTCAGAAAGTCCTCTGTGATTACTTATAAAGAAATTTATGGGTACATAATTCTGTTTCTCCAACCACTCCCTAGAATGGAATTTACATTTTTAATGGTTTAATTGAAAGAGTGGACAGCATCCCCAGAATTCATTTCAGTCACACCTAAAATAAATCTGCCAACTGAACAATGAAAAGGAAAAAAAGCCTGCTATGTCAGAAAAGCAAAATTCTTCACATTGGTCAATCCCAACTTTTCAGGACAAAGTAATACAAATCCTACAAGAAAGTTTAGATAATATACTCCTACATTAAGAAATTTACAAGCCACTTAAATTTCATATGTAAAAATAGTACTGCTTCTGAAGACTAAGGTCTGGAGAGCAGATACCTTTGCTTAAAGGATGAAAAGTGATGAGGGAAGACTAGGGTTGCAAGAGACCTTATCAGAAAAGATAAATCCAACCTTCAAATTTAAGGTATTTATTTTTACTAACACCAGCAGGGGTTATTTCCACATAAATGTTAAGTCTTTAGAAGTATGAGGTAGAAAAAAGAAAAACAAGTCCTGCACTTTGAATTTCTGATGTATTCTTACATTCATAAATATCAAAGTAACAAAGTAGTGAAACGTAACAGATGTTAAAATACAGTGCCTGAAAGTCACCTTGAAAAACTTTTTAAGATGATCTGCCACTTACAGTGCACTTAAAGGCAGATTTAATCCACATGACTTAAAACTTAGTCTGTAGCATGAGACTTGGAGTGTACTGAGGGGAAAGCCCTACACAAAAAGCAAGCAAACAAACATACAAACAAAAAAACCCAGCTGTAGAAGTTCTGAATATCAAGACTGGTTTAACAAGAATTTTTCTCTTTCATTATTATAACCAAATTAGTTTTCCTTGAGCAGAAAGAACTTCCCTGTAAGGGCACTTGAGCATGAAGCACTGCACAGATGGACAGCAGCAGATTACAGCACACATGAGGATATCATGCCCTGCACACACAAACCACACCTTGAGCACCTGAATATGGGCAGGAAGGCACTGTGAACTTTACATTTAAGGACTCACAGAAAGTGTGTTTCCATCATACCACAAACCTTTTCCCACCTGGTGTTGCTTTCCTGGAAGCTGGGTTTTCAGTGCCATCCAGCAAAGCCCTCAGAGAGACACCACGCTTAGGTATCTGTCTCAGCAGTACCGTAAAGATTTGGGGAGTTATTGCCCTTAAGACTGCAATCCAATTGTTCCTCTGGAGCAGAAACATGCTTCATAGCATAACTGCATTTTGGCATCTCTAAATCCGTGTGGTTGTCATCAGCCTGACACCATAGAAGCAGCTAACAGTACCTAGACAGCAGATATGCTTCACCAAGCTCTGGCAGTAGCTGTGTCACTTGGAAAGAAATGTGAAGGAGCTGGCCCAACAGCCCATGGTTGTTTCCAAAGACATGCAGAAAACAGTCAAGAAGTTCCTAATCAATTGCAAAAGAACTAAAACTGCACTGAGAGTTCTAGTGAGGCATGGTCTGATCACTGTGTCTCCAAATCCTCCTGGAGGTTTCTGTGTGAACACAACAGAAGCAAATGTGTCATCTGGTATGCTCAGTTTTCAACCATTCCAGGTAGAATCAAGCTGGTAAGAAGTCTTAAACTTAATTATAACAACGGTCAGAGAAAGATCTGGATGAAAACAAATCCAAAGGCAACAGACCCTATTTTAATGCCAATTGTCTCAATCTGGTGTGCACATGACCCATCCACCCCCTCAGTAAAACACCATCTCAGCTTCAGTGTCCCAGACTAACAGCAGAAGGTGTTACTGGTGGAACAATTCACACAGACACATTGAGGCACAGGGCACATAAACTTATCTCCTGTATTTAATCGTCTTCCTTTCAAAATATGCTTAAGAATCTCTTTAAGAGGCTCTGAAAAAGGGCTCTGGCATTATCTAACCTTCATTGAGCTTCCAAGCATCACCTGTTTGAACGCTACTGTGATTTTCTTCTTTCAGATCCTACCAGCATGAGGACTACTGCACTCAACAGACAATGTCTGCCCTGCAGTCTGTGTTTGAGGATGGTCAGCAGTCTGCTTCCAGTATTAGGGAGTGAGAAACTGATAGCCCCTGAAGGAAAAACAAGGAAGTAATTACAACACTTGCATCAACATTTACTTTAGACAGTCAGGCCATGGATGTGGAGGCGCTCAGATCATGGTCATATATTAAAAAAATATATGTGGAAGAGCAAAATCTGAAGAACAGAAAGGCAAAGAGCCAGGAAGTGCTGAGAACAAAAACTATTAAGCAGGTCTACTGAAACAGGTGTTCAAGCACTGTGATAAACACTACCCAAAGTTCCACTAAAATGCTGCAGTAAGGTGGCAAAAGATGCGCTCACATTGTGCAACTGATAGGCAAAAAGAATTGCTAAGACAGGAAAGAAAAACTGCTCACGAAATAAACTAGAGTCCACTGAGAAGAACCACAGCTGCAGGCAGAGCTCATCATGACAATACCCCAGAGCAGAAGGGTAGGCTCGGGCACTGAGGTATCAAGAGGATACAATCAACCCTGTTACACAGATCAGAAGCCTCTAAACTCCTAAAATATTTAAAGACCATATTTACAGAAAGTGGTTTAGATGCCTGAAGATTCGGAGAGATTTTCAGGAATACTTCAACACCTAACTCCATTTACAGTAACAGATACTAGGTCCCCACACACCTCTGAAAAATCACGCAGGATATTTCCCAACTAAAAGATTCTGGACAATGTTTGAAAGCTTGGCCATGTACAGTTTGGCCTTGGAAGCAGAAGAGCAAAGAACTCATAGCCAGGATTTCCAAACCTCTGGGCTAGAGAACTACTCCAAGAATTCTCCCGTTGATAGGGACACCAATTTTCTGGTGCAGAGAAGGAAAGCGTAGGGAAGGAAGGCAAGCCCCTGCTGCTCCTCTGAACTAATTCTAAAGTATCCTTTGGTAGCGACCCTTATGCCCCATCATTAAGGGCATCACCAGCGCCACACACGGCGGTCAGTGCTGCGGCACAGCCGGCTCGGACAGGGCAGGCAGCTGAGGGGGCAGATGAAGGAAAGAGAAGGCAGGGGAAAGTAAGAAAAGGCAGGAGAGGGCAGGTGCTGGCAGGAGGAGACAGGTGAAGGCAAGTGGAAGCAGGTGGAGGCAGGAGGAAGCAGGTGAAACTGCAAGCAGCTGGAGGCAGGAGAATGGCAGCAGGTGGAGCCGGACCTTGAAGGGCCCGTCCCTGCGGCCACGCTCCGGCCGGGCTCTGCCGCCCGCTCGGCCAGCACGACTCCTGGCTGTGACCTAGGTGGGTAGGGCTGTGATCCAGGACTGGCAGGGCTGTGAGCCGGGGCTGGCAGGGCTCTGACCCAGCCGGGACCAGCGCCGCTCCTGCCGGCCTGCCCCGGCCCGTCCCCGCTCCCGCCGGCGCGGCCTCACCCGGATGTGGATCCGCCGCCCCCCCGCTCCCCGCGGCCGAGGTCACCTTGATGCCTCCGAGCTGAATTGTCTGTCCCCAGGCTGGGTTGTCTCACCTTGTGTAAACGCAACTGATGGCGTCAGATAACTTCTACAATACGAGTTGCTTAATGAAGGAAACAACCTTGTGTTTGTAGCATTGCGTAAGATTGCATCATCGGATAAATATGCATTAAGTAGGCGGAGAGCGTGGATTAGATAGGCGGGTCCATGTGAGTTTTGCTTTACAAAAGATTGCGAGTCATTACCACCTGAGCGCGGTTTGTGGAAAGCCTCACTGTGCGCCCTTTAGAGAATAAACAGAAATTATTCTGTAAACTTTCTAGACTGCTCTGTTTATGTTTAGGGAGCTCCTAAAGCCGGGAACAGCCCCCGCAGCGCCGGGCGCTGCTGCTCATCCCGGCCGGGCTCGGGGCCGCCCCCGCCGCTCATGATCCTGCCGAGCAGCTGCTGCAAGCACGGCTGGAATCACGGCTGGCACCACGGCTGGAAGCATGCTGGCTGGGATCACGGCTGGCATCACCCCCGGCCCTCGATGGAGCCTCTGCCCCTTGCCCTTTGGTTCCCGGTCCGTGTTTGCTCACCCAGCCCGGCCGTAGGCTCGGTGCGTGGCAGAGCAGCAGCGGTGTCTCTTCAGTGTCTTCCCAGAATCACAGGATTCTGAGGGTTGGAAGGGACCTCTGGAGATCATCCAGTCCAACCTCTCTGCCAGGACAGGGTCACGCAGAGCAGGTGACACAGAGGTGGGTTTGGAATGTCTCCAGAGTGGGAGTATCCGCACCCTCCCTGGGCAGCTGTTCCAGTGCTCTGCCCTCCTCAATGGGAAGAAGTTCTTCCTCATGTTAAAATGAAATTTCTCATGTTTGAGTTTATGGCCTTTGTTCCTCATACTGTCAGTGGGTACCACTGGAAAGAGTTTGGTCCTTTCTCTTGGCACTCCTTTGAGATATTTATCTGCATTAACAAGGTCCCCTCTCAGTCCTCTCTTCTCCAGAATAAACAGCCCCAGCTCCTGCAGTCTCTCCTCATCAGAGACCTGCTCCACACTCATCACCTTTGTGACCCTTCTCCTTGTCTTTCTTGTGCTGAGAAGCATGGAAATGAATCGGGAACTGGCAGGACAGTGACGATTGTGCCAGCCCTGGGCTGGGCAGGAGGAGATGAGCCTTTGTGCTGTTCTGTGAGAGGACATGGCATAATGAGGCCAAAGGAAGGGCAAGCTGCTGAGCTGTGAATGACACATTGTGATGAACTGGAGGAAAAAAACCTCCAGTAATTTCACTACTGAACTCTTTTGTGAACAGAACTGTGTCAGTTTCTAGTAGAAAGATACTTAATGAACAGTACATTAAAAGTCATAGAATGAAAAAGATGTAACATTGTGCCACTGCAGCAGTACCTTGCAGCAGTTTGCTGTTCCATACTACATGAAGAAACATAAGATCACAGAATTACAGATTGGTTTGGCTTGCAAGGACCTTAAAGCTCATCATCTTCCACCCCTGCCATAGGCAGGGACACCTTTCCACTACCCCAGACTGCTCCAAGCCCTGTCCAACCTGGCCTTGAACATTTCCAGGGATGAGGCAGCCGCAGCTTCTCCGGGCAACCTGTGCCAGGGCCTCACCAAAATATTATTAAAAATAAAGAGACATTATGGCGTAGGTTTTGTGTCCCGTTATACCTGACCGCAGTGTTCCTGAAGGTAGTTATAGGGCATGAATTTTTGGAAGGGTAAATAGCATGCAACTTTATCAGTCTTCTAAGATACACCATGAAAAAAAAAGCTTGTGCCTGTGTGCTGAACACTATAAAATTTGACAGTTTGATAGAAGTTTCTGAAACATTCATACTCAGCAGGCAAAAACAGCAATTAAGGTCTTGTTTTCTGCATTAGTTAATCTTCTACCACAGTGTTATCCCAGCTAAAGACCATTATATCAGTCATACGGTAGAATTTCTTCTTGGATGTAGAGGGGAAAAACATCTCCCTAAAAACACCTTCTCAATATTCTATATTAATGTTGGTACATTCACTAGGTTTTATAAAGTCTTAGTCAGTAGTTATTTGGTTGATTTCTATAATGCTAAAAGTGAATGTTTAGATTCTCAGGACTTCAGGAGGTTCTTTCCAGGGTGGTGTTCAAACCTGCTCTGAGGCTGGGAGTGCCTGCTCCTGTTTTGTCAATAAATTGAAGATTTTGCTTATTTTTACTTTCAAGATATTATTTTCTTTGTACAGATTAATGTAAATTTGGATTACTGAAGGCAGTAATCCACAAGTATGTTATGTTTATCATCAATGTGTTCTTGTATTGCATCTTTGTAGCATGTTTCTTTTCTGTTTTAGAATTTGATATATTGTTTTCTTGCAGGAAGAATAAGTGTATTCTGGGCAAAAAGCCAAGAAAAAGTAGCTCTTACCAAGCCAAATTAGATAATTACAATTTCACTCTGTCTTTAAAGCACAGCTGTGCCTTTTGGGTTGTGAAAATTAATATTTAGTACATATAACTTTACACTTTTCTTCTTATCTAAAGAAAAATGTCCCCTCAAAATGAAGACTTCTCTAATTAGCTTATTTTCTCCATTTTGAAATTTAGTAGAAGTAAATGTATTATTTGTTACTACTACTACTATTATTATTATTATTTCAATATTATTATTCCTGAATTTAGTTAATCTTTCTATGACCAATATCAGATTTTTCTTACTTTTTTTTTCCATGTCAGAATTTGGTAGATGAGAAAAATGAAAACACTTTTGTTTTGATTTTGCACTGAAGCAGCTGCATTAATTTTGTGTCTTCTATTCTTAATTTATATACCAGGAGCACAAAAAATAATTCAAATATTAAGGTTTTTTGTGTATGATTATATTTAGCTTGTCCAAAAATCCATTTCAACATCTCTTCCACACAATTTAGATCTTTGTAACACAGGCCTCTATCTCTGGTTGGGATTTTTTGTTTACTTGTTTATTGGGTTTTTTAAGGCTATAATTTTGGAAATATTGGGGTTTTCTTGTGGTCTGATGTGGTTTTGTTTTGATAATCGTCTTCCTATCTTCCCTACTGATTTGCCACACTGTAGTCATTGAAATAAACTGCTTTTGGTGAATCTAATTCAATTCTTACTTCATCTGGCCTGTCTCAGGGCATCCATAAGCTCACTTTGAAAATCTCCCTGGATAACGCCCCTTAAAATTTAGGAGTATTTCTTTTTGTAGCACACCCTGAGGAAATAGAGCCAAAATTTTATTACTGTCCTGCACTGCATTTCATTGAATACCCCAGTTTGGGCAGACTGTCAGTATAAATTGTTGGCATTTTTTTCCAAAGCAGTATTGATTTTCGACAGCCACTGTATTTTGGGAAACTGAAGAGCAAAGAAGCAAAAGGGAAACAAGAAAATCCATTTGCCTCAGCCTCAGACTCATTCCTTGAAGTGGACAATTTATTAAATGCAAATTCAGCAAATAGAGAAAAAAGCAAGAGGAGGAAACACATTGCAAATTATACACTGATTACAGCTTTTAGAACGAATCAGGAAGAAGAAGCTGTATGAGAGGCTTGTATTTTGGCTTAAGGTTGCATGTAGTAAATAGCAAAAGGTTGATTGTTTATATTTTTTAGCTGTACTCAGCTTTAAACTATGTTTGTCTCTAAAGCTTTATGAAATATGAAAAAGACCTTTCATAATACTGAAAAGCAGAAGGTCCAGTATAATTGTACCCAAAATAGTTTGAACCAATCTAAGACCAAAAAACATCTTTATTTGGGCTGAATGGTATTGTTTTGTCTCCTAGAGAGCAAAGTTTATAGAGACTCCTGTCAGTTCTGGAACTTTTTTTTTTTTTAATTCATTCAGCCTTACATGGTAACACTGGCTGGCTATAAATAGGTGGATGTTACCCTCCTTAATTTGAGCATTTTTGTGTGGTATGAAGCCAGTCATATTTGTGGGTCTTCCAAAGGAAACTATGTTTGTAATGCTGTTCGAGGCTTTTTTTTTTTTTTTTAAATCCTAGTAGAGAAATAAGCAAAACTGTTAAACAAGCATGATTTTTAAAGTAGATATGGATTGATTTACCACTACTAAATGCCATCATTAACCTACAGGGCTGACTTCCATACTGAGGGAATTTGGCGATAGAACACAAAAAAATGAATTATTTACTTTTCTTACCCTGAAGCAGACGGAGACAATGGGGCGTGGGACAGTGAGATTCTTTATATGAAAGGTAACCACTATTTTTTTTCTTTCAAACACAGTCAAACCTTAGGGAATCTAAAGTCTTTATGATCCACTGGTGATCAGCAGGGAAGAATGGACCAAGTTCATCTTGTTGCCACACTACCCTTTCCACGAGAACCAACATCCTCTCTCATTCTTGTGGTCACTATTAGGAGCAATGTCGAGTCAGTTTGAAAGGGCAGAAGAAGAAAATGCTGTATTAACTGTGAAAGTAGCTGTCATGTGTAGGATAATTTAATTTGTTTCAACTTAAATCTCTGATTTTTACCCTACTGAGGCACTCACGTACTTCAGATCTCACAATTGGCAATAGAGCAAAAGTGTATTTGTTGCTAGACCACAATCCAGCTTAGCAAAATTCTGCCACCTTTTTCTACCCACTAAAAAACCCACAGTCAAGGCATACTGTACTTGTTTGCCTTTTAGGGTTTTATAGGAAAAAACATAGTATAGAAATCATTGTCATTTCCTTTCAAGAAAATTTACTAAAAGTAGACAGTTAAAATTCTTGCTGTAAAACAAAAACCGCTATAGAGTAATGTTTCTCCTCTACCTATTAAAATATATTTATTCTCTTAGATGACAGTAGCAGAACCCAGATGCCACATTCTAAAGTGTTGGGTTTTGGGTTGTTTTTTTTTTTTGGTTGTTTTTTTTTCCCACCATTTATAGAATCTGTTTATTAGCAGAAATGCCAAGGTTTCTGCAGCTTCACCAAGAATCATTCTGGTAACATGTTGTACTGTATCTGCCATCTCGAGTCATGCAGTCCTGTCCTTGCAGTCAATTAGTAGTATCTGCCTAACTAACCTTCTCTAATTATCACGGCTTTTGTGCATCTAAATAAACATGGTACTAGGTGGTTTGGTCTTTTGGTCTTTTTCTGGGTT